GTCAAGATCCCATCACATAGGACAAATCTCAATGCCCAAAGTCCACTGAGCTCAGATAAAATTATTAAGGAAAAGGTTTTCATGTCTCAGAGCAAGTGAAGTTCAAAAGCAGAACCAACCTCCACGGTTACTCTTCAAACTACAGGAACAACATAGTCTTAGCCTTTGCTACAAGTAGAATTATTATTTTTTTCCTCTGTATCGATCATTTCCTTTGGAAAAGGGAGGCTGCTTTCTTCTGGGGAAAAAAATCACTCCCCAGTCTAGAATGGATTTGCATACACTAGTCACAAATTCTCCCCTTCCAACACAAAAAAATAACTTGTGTTGGTAACATAGTTCAGATACCCCTTTAAAGTATGCATGTGAGCCTCATCAATAGTGAGTACTGGAAGATTCCCATCTTAAAGCAAATGTAATTCAAGAATTGGACAGAAAATTGAGGTAAGTGCTATATCAATATACCAGGAAGCAGGAAAAAAAAAAAAAAGCTTTTGGTATTTATCTCTAACACCATGAAACCAAAAAACAATTTCTTTACCTGAGTCAATATTATATCAACCCAATCATTAACTTAAAATTCCCCACTAAAATATAGTAACAAAGGAAAATTATTCCTTTAAAGAAGTATTACCTGTTAGCATGCACTCCATTCACCTGAGTGATTACAGTAGAGAGCTGACCAAGACCTAGCATGGACTTCACTACACCGTGATAATGGATGATCTAGAAATTTAAAAATATTTAAAATAGCAATTGTCACTACAGATGTATCCTGGAAACCAAAACGAGGATAATTGATATTCATTAAAAAATACTATTTACCTCATTGTAGCTACCCTTCTTAGTTTAGAAATGACTTGCTTGGCTATATGGCAGACTTCTACACACATCTTAATTTTAAAAAAGTGCAGATAATCTAAAAATAAAAATCTCATATTGAATTTATTATTTTCATAAATTTGGTATAATTTTGGGTTCTGATCATTTATAAAAGTAATGAGTACCCTTTCATTTTTAAAGATTACTTGTAATTTTATTTAGATAAAAATTAACACTCAAGTTCATTAATAGATTGTGTTAGTAAATAAAGTTAAACAAGATCATGCCATGTGCTTTAAAAATGACAAGACTGTGAAAAATAAAGGTCTTATACATTGAGTTTCTGAATAAGTCAAATAAGACAAAAAGTAATACTCCATGATTAAGCAAATCTAAGCCGAGATTTTAAGTCAATAACTCTGAAAAGATTTATGTCCCCATAAAACATGAGGTATAAAATACAATCCCATTAGTAATTATAGCTCAATGATTCTAAGGGACCACTTCAGAGATTCAGATAGTTTGGAGGCATGGGATATCTGAAAAAGTTTCTTAGACTGTAAGGAATCACTATTACTATTAAAAATTAATGAATATATTTACATTTTCATAATGAACTAAAATAATATAAATTTTGGAGTAATTGAACACACAGTTGAAAATAAATATACTCTAAAATAAACCTCACTCATGGAGACAGAAATCTGAAATCTTCTAGGATAAGTCTCTAACTTTACCAGTCAAGAAAAAGTCACACTTAGAAAACTGAATGTTCTGCAGACATATGGTGATGCTGGTAAAAACAGTGCTGAAGCTAAATTTCTAATCCTAGTTCAAGAGTCTTTTCATTATGTTGCCTATCATTTGTTATCTTACCTGGTCTGGTTCTAGTTGAATAGCCCGGTCATAACAAGCAGTGGCATCCCTCAGTAAACCAATGCTTTCATGTTCAAGGATCTGCTCTTTTAAGGAGGGTTCTGCCTTTCGAATTGCACTTACGCCCGCTACTCCATCTGGTTCATGCATAGCAGCATACAATTTCTTTGTTGAAACATTAAAAAAAATCAAATGAGGAAAAATGTAGTTGGGAAATTATTATAAGACTACCATTTTACATCAAAAAGCGTATGGTATTTTTTTCTCAAAATAACTATCAATATTTGTTTTAAAGCAGGCTCATGGTAAAACTATAGATTTATTTCGAGGCATTCTATATCTCAATACACTTAATTGCATTTAAAGATAAACCTCCATTTAAAACCCATTAATGGTAACAAGAATTGTAAATAATTCAATATCCTCAACTTTATTAAAAAATAATTCATACTAAATTCTGTTAAGTGTAACTTAGAAGTGTTTCGTGCCTTTTAAAACTTAAAAAATTTTAAAACAACATATTGGTAACAAGATGCCTTCAAGAAATACAAGACATAATTGAGTTCAAAGGAAATAAACAGTTAAAATATAGGATAAAATATTGGTGAACAATTAGCACAAAGATGTTTGTTAAAGGCAGGGGAAAGAAAGGCATGATTTCAGAAATGAATAAAAAGAGAAAAGAATGCCAGCTAGACAACTAGAATAGTTCTATATTTATAGACATGGAAGAACTAGCAAATTTAAACTGAGAAAAAGAAACCACAGCCGGTCTGAAGAATCCTAGAATCTCTGTGGGAGAAAAGTAAATGTGAATTAGGAATGGTCAAATGCTGCTGTAAGGTTAAAAAAATAAGGACTGGGAAACATTATTGAATTTGATAGCAAGAAGACATGATTTTCTTAGCAAGAGTAGTGTCAGAGAAAAAGCAGAACTGGCTAAGAATGACTAGGAGTCTGTATGACTCTAAAGACTATAGCATTACTGATGACAACTTTCACTTTACCTGGCACTTAGAAGTGAGAAAAGGTCAATTAGAACAAAAATGTTAGGTGAAACATGGTAATAACTAAGGGGAAGTATTAGAAACAAACCAATTAAAAAGGCAGGAAGTTTGAATAGATTAACAAATACAAAAGAAACTGGAAAAAGCAGTTCAATACTTTTGCCTTTAAAAAAGCTCAATTTCTGTGGTGGTTAAATTGTTCCACAGCATAAAATATAGTTTCCCATCCGACTCCATGAAACTGACAAAACAAAATAAAAAGAAAAAAACAAAAAGTCACATATACTGCAACTAGCTTATGAATGTAGGTGTTAAACTTAAGTTTAAAGCATTTTTAAAAATGAAAATAATATATGTCTCTGTAGAAAACAAAATTTTAAGATCTATATTTTAGTATAAGCTCATAATTGATATATCAAAATAAAACCTAAAAGCAAAAAAGAATGGATGGGAGTGAAGAAGTGATTACAGGAAAACATAATTCTTTTAAAATTCTTTAAAAACAGCCTGTGAAAAGAGAGCGAGGGGAAGTGGCCAGAGACAGTAAAACCATGGGAATTAAAAATATTAAAAAAGGAAATATGAGACATGCTAATATATTCTCTATACTCCTGTTGAGAGAGAAATTAAAGATAATGAAGAAAGTAGGAATACTTGAAGGAGTAAAATCCTTGAAATTGAGAACAAATAAGATGGAATTTTGACAGAAATGCTTTCTTAGGAATAACTGAAGAAAGAGAACAGGATGCAGAATCCACTGTATTTACAGATTTGATAGATATTTGGCATTCGTTTTCATGACAATGAAACAAGATTGTCAGTGGAGAAGTACGGTGGAAACAGAAACGAAGAAAGGGTAAGAGACAGTCATCTTTAGAGCAGGAAAGTAGGCTTACTAGAGAAACATAGAAGGACGGAAGATTCTGAATTTAAAAGCTACTACAAAAAGCTCCTGTGTGACTTTTCTCCAGCAATGTTTAGCTGCTTACATGCTAACACTGGGAAGGTGGATTTATAAGTTTATCCAGGGTTGAAGTTTTACGAGTGAGTATAACACAGTGAGAGAAAGATAAAGAAGTTGAATGTCTTTGCTAGGGAATAACTTTAGCAACGAACTCAACCAATGAGGAACACAAAAAACAAGAGCTAGTTAATAGTTACCCAAAGACTAAACTGTTAATTTTCCATGTTGTCATCACGCTTTTTGATCTAAAAAAGCAGCCCACTAACTCTGACCTCTTGTTTATTCCCATTGTTTTAGTTCGACCTGTCCTTATTTTTTCTTCCCTCCAAAGTCATATAATTACCTATTTTCAACAGAGCTACAATGACAGATTCTGCCACTCCTAAATTCAAGCTCCATTTCTCTTCATTTTTTTCTTTCAGGGGCCTACATTTCTCATGAATGAACAGTAATGAAAGTTTGCCTTAATCATAGCCCTTTTAAACCCTTCCTCTAAGAATGTCATTAAGTATTTAGCGAAAAATGCCATTTTGACCAAAGTACTTCCCTGATTAGAATCTGCCAGGAATCTTGGGTATTAAAATGTCCTCTGTAATTTATCTTTCCTTTGCCCAAGCCTCTTATTTTCTCTCTGCCACTCAAAACAACTACTGTACTCTTAAGCACATACGTTCATCCCCAACTCCATAAGGATGCCTCTGCTTAAAAGGTCCTGGTTCTTTTACTTACCATTCATTCAAGATCTACTTTAGATATCACCTCCAAGATCCCTTAATGAACCTTGTTCACCTACTCCTATCTCCCACCCAACTCTACATAAATGACTATTTAAGTGTTCATCCTTTGATTATATCATTGTACTGAAGATATGCCAAAATGATACTTATCTATCCCCACTTATCTATATGCTTCTAAAGTGCTCACAGACTCTAACAGCATCTAAAATGTTCAATGAAATGAACAATATAAAATGAGATTGGCAATATTAAAATCAAGTTCACCGTATTAATTTCAAACCTGTAAAAATCCAAGATGCTCTTGAATATTTTGCTTCTTTTCTGTGATAAATGATTCAAAGTGCATTACAGCTCGTGTGTATGCCTTAGAGCGAAAGGAAGCTACAGCCAGAGTATCTTGAGGTATGAGGTCTAGAAAACGCGTTACACTCTGATAGTCTTCATAATCCACAGATCCTAGATTATAAAATGAGAACTGAGTAATTTAGGGACTTAGAAAATATAATTTTAGAAGTATCAACTCAAAATTTATTTCTTTAAATTCTATTTATTTCACTAAATTAAATTTATTAGGATAATATGGTTGGCTGTTAAATCAATATGATGAATGCTCACAGAACTCTTATTCCAGCTCTACCATATTACTTATCTGTCCTTGAATAGGTATTTTATTTAACTCAGCTTGTTTTCTCATCTATAAAAGGAAAATAATAGTATCTGTCCTGCTTTTTTAACAATTTCCTGAGAATTAAGCTCAAATCCATATTAAATGTTAAAGAAATATAAAAATTTAAAATAAAACAAAGCAAGTCATTATTAACAACAGTGTTGCTCTTACATGAAAACTGTGCAAATATTTTCAAACTAAGAATTTTTTAGCAATCTGTATTTTTCCTATGTTGTCATATAATGTAAACTATAATGGAAAGTAAAGTAAAAATCAGTTCTTTACAGTAACTTTTCAAGCACTAAGAAGACATACAGGCCTCACTGGTGGCACATGGCTTAATGAGGCACATGGGCTTAAGTCTCAGCACCACGAAGCTATCTGCAGGCACTGCAGCATGAGTGTGACCTCAGCCAGGGAGCTAATCCACATGGCAGAGTAGTCCTCTCCTTTCTCGTCAGCTGCTCCCCTCAGCAGTGTATTTCAGTCCATCACCCTGATTTGCTCCCCACTTTGTCTCTGGTAAATATTTCCTCCGACCTCCTGGCACCTCTGGCCTGTACCCCAGCTCTTGTATGCATAAATAACTAAGTCTTAAAAAAAAAAGACATGAACTGGGAACTTCTAAGTGAAGACTTCAAGTATTGTATTTAAATCAGAAATGCATGTACTTTCATGAACAAGGAGATAATTACAAATTGACACTTATTTATGTGAAAGCCTTTTTAATAAGTAAAATTCCAATTAGCTTAGGAAAAGTACATAATGTCCACTAATTATTACAGTTTAGAGGAGAAAGGTTACATATTTTATCTACTTGCTGCAGGAATTAAAAAACAAACAACTAAGGTTCAAAGATAGTAAGAGTATCCATTATTCATTATTTGGAGGACTATGGATGCCTTGGTTGTAGGAGTGATAATATATCTGTAGAGGTGGATTATATACTATATTGTAAATCAATCTTAGCTCAATAAAAAATGGCTTAAAAAAAACTATTCATTATGTTTAATGAATATAATCCTTCTCCACAAATGCTTATATTACAGGGGGAGGTATGATATTTAACTCTAATGGAATTTCTCTTTTAGTTGCTTAAGTGGGAGTTGTAATACCACAGGAAAAAATGATGACATTAGGCACACCAGGGTGTTGCATAGTAATGTTACTTAATCATGTCTGCAAAGTCTGCTAGCCACTGCTATCAGAGACATGGAAAAAACTGAACTGAAGTGAATAAAAAAATGAGATCACGAAATGAATGAAATTAAAATCTCCTGAAACTTAAAACAAACTGCAAGTGTATTTCACAACTGAAAAAAGGAGAAAAAACAAATTACTACACATATATGTGTGTATGTGCATATACACCTACAATAAACAGCAATGGATTGGTTACTAACATGACATACATTTATTTTACATTTTGTAATTTTTACTTATTCATTTCATTTATTTTATTTTTTACATCAAATATTTTATTATTCAATACATCATTGTTGTGTAATAGAAGTCTAGCATTCCCACCTCAGGCGTGGTTAGCATACTACAAACACCATTAAGACATTCATAGCCCACCAAAATAGTCCACTGTGCTCCCTTCCCTCTTCAGTACCTTTTAAGAATTTCAGTCCTATGTCAATTTTGTAGGCTTAGTTCTTTGTTTGGCTTCTCTATGTTCCACATGTAAGTTACCACCTCATTTAACCCTCAATCATCTAATGGAGGTAATATTAACCTATTTTATACAAAGAAAAATTAGGTGTGTGTCTTATCTAAAGAAGTAAGACTAAAAATTTAAAGAGAGAGTTTGACTATAAATATACTAAAAAGTTACATTATGAAAAAAAGAACACAAGAAAAAAAGTAGGTCTTTTAAAAGTTAATGCTTAAATTATAGAATTGTAAAGAAAGGAGCTAGTGGTAATTAGTGGAAGAAATAAAACTATGACTTACCCATTGAATCTACCTTATCTCTGTTTGATTTACTTTGTGGAAATTTCTCAGCATTCAATGCCTGAAATTTATGCCTTTTCCATTGTGTGAGATGGTCAAGCATGGAGAACACAGTCTGTGTACTAAGTTGACACAAATCAGATGCAATGTCCTGGGAACTTAGAGTATGTTGATCATCATGCTTTAAAACTGCCATAATTTCTGCATAAACCTAAGAATTCACTTTGTGGTTAATAACATGTTTACACATTATCATTTTATTATCATCTGACATACAGTATTAGCCATGCTAAGGTAACAAAATTTTCAAAAACAAAACCACCAATATGGATTAATAGTTATATTTCTTATCTGTAATTTAAATCAGTAAAATGTTACTGTAAGTAAAGTCTAGAGAAACAAAAAGTAAATCAAGAATCAAACAATTCTTCAGTTATTCAATAAATGATAAGGAAGGTATTAATATGAAAAATAAAACAGTATATCACACTACCTGTAAAAATCAATTTCAGAATAATTTAGAGCTAACTAAAATTACAAAAGGAATAAAAGAATGTAGGAAAATAATTCATGCTATTGACTAAGGTATGAAGTTCAAAAGTTAAAAAGGTTTATAAATTTGACATTTACATTGAAATTTCCTGCATGACCAACGGCAGAAACAAATGTTAAAAAGAGAACAGTAAAAGATTTTTGCAAGACACTACCAGCATAAATAGGTATCTAAAATACACATAAAACTCCTAAGTTTTGACAAGTATATGAGAAACATATATACTTGTGAATTGCTGGTAGGACTATAAATCTGTAGGCAATTTGCAGTCTTCAATATAATCTTTTATTTTTTGTAAGATTTATTTTATTTATGCATACAAAACTGTGGTACAGGCCAGAGGTGCAGGGGTGGTGAGAAGATTTACCAGAGACCAGAGTGGGGAGCAGAACAGGCAGCTGAGAGGAGCAGTGGGCAGGTCACCTCCAGGGCAGGGATCGAACTCATGCTGAAGTGGCTTTAGCTTCTTAGTGCTGTGCTTTAACCCGCTGCGCCACCAGGGAGGGCCTAATCTTAAAGGTACATAACATATAACCCAATTGTTCCAGTTTTGGGAATCTAACCTAAATCACATATAGACAATTTCATAAAAATTGATAAGATGCTTACCATAGTACTATATGTAAAAGTTACAACTAGAAACAACAGGTAGTAAGGGAATAGTTAAAACTATGGTATGGGCTTTCCCTGGTGGCCCAACAGGTTAAAGCACCGCATTATGAGGCTTTCTGAAGCCACTGAAGCATAAGTTTGATCCCTGACCAGGGAACTGACCCATATAGCATGGCAGACCTCTCCTGACTGACCCACTGCTCCCTTCAGCAGTGTATTTCAGTACATCTGCCTGTTCTGCTCTCCACTCTACCTCTGGTGAGTCCTCTCACCGCACCTACACCTCTGGCCTGCACCCCCGTTCTATAAGCATAAAATATAAATCTTTTAAAAAATTATGATATAACTACAAAATGAAAGGATAGTAATATGCAATATTAAGCTTCTTAAAAGATTGGCTCAGCATGTTTATATTGGTAAATTAAAAAATGCAAAACAATGTCTATAACAGGAGACCATTATATCAAAAAAAACCAAAACCAACTACATTAAAGCAGGGTTTGAGAATATACACATAAAATTAATAACAGTGATAATCTCTTGGGATGTAGGACCAGGAAAGGTAGTCAAAGGGTACAATTTATTTGTGTGATTTTAATTTTTACATTAAGAACATAGTAATATGCTACTTCTGCTATTAAAAATTCATTTTTTAAAAGAAAATTTCTATGTATGGCCTTAAAAACCTAAACTATTTAAAAGATTATAAAATGAAAAGTAAAATATTCTCTTCCTTCCCCTAGATTAATCTATTATAATATTCCCTGGGGGGAGTATTAATAGTTTCTAATACAACCTTCTTGAAAAGTTTGCTGTATATTTGGGCATATATAATACATACATTGTAATTTTCTACACTGAGCAGTATATACGCACATTCATAAGCATATTTTGTTGGACATTTCTTACAAAACTGTAGCCTAATATTAATTACACTCAACAAACTGAAACCAAATAAAACAGTATTTCTCACCTCCTGTTGATCTTCTTGATTACAACCCAACAAGACATACACAAGAATATGTGGAAGAAGATAGATGGTCACCTTGAAATCATGCTTCATCATAATGCTACAGCAGGTGAAGATTTTACTGGCAAGATCATGTCGAACCTGTAAACTCAAATGATTTAGGAAGATATATAGTTTTAAAAATTTTATTCCACTGTTTTATACCAAAAGACCACATGTGAGATAATTTGTCCCTGAAGAGGTATTCTCTTATGAAAAAGGGCATGCGCACTCAGTCAAGGAATAATTCAGTGTACCACCCCTCTTTCTGTTCATTCCAACTATAGCTAATTATTTGAACTGCTGATACCCCAAGAGGCAAATATCTGTACTATCAGCCACCTCACAGAATAAATGGCCTTCTACCCTTTTATTTTAAATGTGCCTTTTATTTTAAATGTTTTGTTCCAGATTAACTTTCCTAATTACTGTGCACTTTATTTACCTAACTCTGAATTTATTGCATTAATTGCCTGAACACATGTAAGAAAGATCTGAGACACGACATTAGTCTAAAATTCACATTTTTATAACTAATAGTGATTAACTGTAGAAAAAAACTGAAATAGAAAATTTTAAATATCTGGGATATTGTTGGTATACTATCATTTCTAATTTATCAACCTTATTGTCCTTTTTTTTCTTTCATGTGTACTTTACATCATTCTTCCTTCCTGGACAATGTACACCTTTTCCTCTCAGGTGTAGTCCCAATAAAATTCTTACCATCAATTCATCTGTGTACCATCACCATAGTCCCTTGTGCTCTTCCTTCCCGTTTTGATCTCTCTCTCCCACCTTCTCCTGCAGAATGTGCCTGATTTATAGCTGCCTGTTAATTCTGCTTTTTAATTTATTATTATTTTTTTTTCCCTGATCCCTTATTTGGTTCACCTACACTCTTCCTACAAGTGAAACCATCTGGCATATTTTATCAAGCATAATCCCATCCAGCTCCATCCATGTTGATGAGAATGGTAACATTCGCGTTCTTTTATAAAATTTTAAAAGTTTTTTACCCTTTTGCTTCACTTAAAAAAAAAAACTAAAATATTCCACAGCTGAAAGTAATTTAATGGTATTCACCATTTCACACAGTAAATATTATATTTTCAGTGTGTTTATGAAAAAATTAAGAAGCATTCTGGAAATTACCAGATATAAATTACTATAATTAACATATTACTGTATTTCTAAAATATCACTGTATTTTTAAAACACTAATTAATAGAAGTATGAGTTTAAAAAAATCAAAGTTTAAATAAACCTTAAACATTTTCTTGGAATAGTATTTTTTTGTGTGTATAAGGTATGGAAAACTCTAATATAAAGAAAAAAGAAATCTACATCTATTTTTTCCACAAAATTCAAAAATCTTCATTTTTATTTTTAGAGGAAGTTTAGATAATATGTTTATCCACCTTTAGTAGGAGCAACAAGAGGATAATATATTTTTTATTATAAAAAAAATCACGTCATTATACAAAGAACGCATTTATATAATCTTATAAGCAGTATTATTTTACAATGTAAAAGTAATAGACATTCACAAACACATTAAGACCATAGTAATATGCTTAATAAACAATTACCTTCTATCGAGAAACTAACTAGTAACAAGAGGGAAGAAACTAACTAGTAACAAGAGGGAAACTGTTACTCTCTTACTAACCATTTTCTTCAAAATTTCTATCACTACCAGCACAAATATTTCAATGGTTCTGTGTGTGCAAGCACTGATATTCACATAGATCACAGATATGCCTTTAGTATTTTTGTTTGGTTAATAAATTCTCTTACCTTTGTTATAAGATAACCTGCCCAAGATGCTGACCATTCTGCAAAGTTATTACCTAATTTACTTAAGTAAATTGGCTTCTTTACTCCAGACCAATCTGTTGACTTTTGAGAGCTCTTATATCTGTAATTTTGAAAATTTATTAAAACAATATAAATATATAACCACAGATTAAGAATTTTAGTAAAGAAAGTATAACGAACTGTATCTACTCCTTTCTTGACTATCCACTATCCACTACTGCCTCACCTTCACTGAAATCTGGGTAAAGACATTACTATTCCATAACCTTTTTATGGGGGGATAGGTGGGATGGGGTGGATGGTCATTTTTACACATCCAAGTACTTCAAAAGAATCTGAACCTGACTCTTCCTCTTTGAGTATACCATTCTCAACTCTTCACATGGGTATCTACCACACTTGCTGATTACCAAACTCACTGATAACTTCAGTATTTCCTTTCTTCCCCAGGTTTTATTATCCAATGTGACTTAAATTTCTGGTTGGACCATCTAATCAAACTAAAAACGTCTCAATGACTATCACCTCTACTTATTTGTCAGGACTTTCTTGCCAAAACAAAGAAACTTCTTCATTTATAAAATTATCTTTTAAATAAAATTTAGCAAAAGATTTCTACAATTTTAGCTCTTTCACTCAGTTATACTAACACTTCTACTATCTCTCATTGAGATCTCTGTCCCTTGACCTTGCTCTCCTGACCTATCATACCTTCAGTTCACTACCTTTTCTTAACCAGCATGGTCTTTCTTGGCCCTTCTTTCAAGCCTTCTTGGTAATATATCCTTTACTCACTCCACTGCCACAATGTCATTACCAACTGTACCCACTTGCCTACTTCCCAACCTTGGATTGATCTAAATGCCTGCTTTCACTGAAATGATATCCAGATAACACACTTATAAAGGAAAATCATTAAACAGCATATGAGATTAGAACTATATATACATTCTTAGGTTTCAACCTCTATGACCTCTATATTGCCCAGAATGCTTTCTAAGTGTTTTGGCTCTCTTTTTTTTTTTCCATAGTGACAATTTCATATTGTCACCACTTTCCTCATATCATCTACACCAACTTCACTGCTACTTTCAGTCATTAATCTCATCTCCTATTTCAGGGGGAAAAAAAGAAATCAGTGATTTCCACAATCAAATGTGTCAAATGAGTCCCACCCATTATTTTATCTTCTATTAAAAAGCGATTTCATTCCCATTAGGGAAATAATATTAAGTATGCTTGTAAAGGTTCTCAGTACATCAATTATTGCTTGCCATAACTTTAACATGATCCTTCCTATATGTTCCTCAGTATTAAATATTTAGACACAGTCAAATAGCTCTCATCTCAAATGTATACAACATTTTTTGAAGGGAACACTTCTTTTCAATCCCAGGGTGTTAAGAAATGACAAATATAATAAAAGCACTATATTCACAGTTCTCAGCAAACATTACTTATGTCAAGTTCCTAAAGCCTAGAAAGTCTAAAAATTTGAGTTCATATCACCATTTTGCATTGTACCTTGTGTGATCATTGTTTTGGAATACAGAAGATAATATACAATAAGATGGGATTGAAACAGAATTTATCAGTTAGTACTGATAAATGTAAAGAACTCTGCTAGATACATTTTGAATCATCATATAAATTAGTAAGTAAAACTACCCATATTTTGAAAATGAGAAAGTAAAGCTCACACATGTTAATTAACTTGCACAAGACTTCAGAGCTATCAAATGCAAGAGCAAAAACTCAAATTTAGGTATACTTGACTCCAAAGACCATAAACTTTCTACTGGATCATAGAAATTCTTATGTATCTTTATGTGCTATAACATACAGAGTGAAGAAATTGACCAGTGTGGAATCATCCTCAATAAAAGAAAAATCAAGGTTTAACTACAAACTTTTACTTTGTATTAATGAAATATATCTTTAAGAAATGTTTGTAAGAAATAAAATTATATTTAAAAGGCTTCTAAATGTAAAAAAAAAATGAGCAAATAAGTATGCATACATATTTAAGAAGTTTTTTTTTACACAGGAGATTTCTTTAAAAAAAAAAATTTATTGATGCATACAAGAATTGCAGGACAGGCCAAGAGAGCAAGGGGTGAAAGGATTCATGAGAAACAGAGTGGGGAGCAGAACAGGCAGACCTACTGAAAATACACTGCTGAGGGGAGCAGTGGGCAGATCAGGAGAGGTCTGCTGGGCCATAGATCAAACTTGTGCTACTGTGGCTGTGGATAGCTTCATAGTGTTGCACTCTAACCTGTTGTGCCACCAGGGAGGGCCCATATGTAAGAACTTTTATAAATGATTTTACTACAAGTCCAGGCACTATAGTAAGGTTCTAAGACATAATTTATCAAAGGCAACATACCTATAAGCATGTAACCTAGAATACTTAAAATTACAGTTTACAAATAAAATTAGTATATAACTTTCTGGACTTCAACTAGCCCTAACACAGTTATTAAAAAGCAAAAAGCTTAGAAAAATGTTTGTTTTTATCTTAGAAAATATCTTCATGAAGAAATATTGATAGAGCTGAAAAATCTCACAATTTTGGTTACTTTGAAACGAATTTTAAACTCTTAAATTTCTATTAATGATACTTATCAACTTGAAGTAGATAATTTAAAGTATTGGCAACTAAAATTTTAATATGCCAATCCCTTTAATTTTCATGAATTCATCTAAATCACTTAAAGTTATGAAACTTAACCAATGAGTTGATTTACATCTCATTTTTAAAAGATTGTAAGCAGGCCCTCCCTGGTGGCACAGCGGGTTAAAGCACAGCACTGAGAATCTAGAGCCGCTTCCGCATGAGTTCGATTCCCGCTTGCCCCAGAGGTGACCACATGGCGTGGCAGACCTCTCCTGACCCACCCGCTGCTCCCCTCAGCAGTGTACTTCGTCGATCTGCCTGTTCTGCTCCCCACTCTGTCTCTGGTGAAGCCTCTCGCCACCCCTGAGCCTCTGGCCTGTACCCCAGTTTCTGAATGTACAAATAAATGAATCTTTAAAAAAAAAAAAAAAGATTGTAAGCATACTTTTGGTAGATAAATGAACTGTGGCATATCTAGGAAAGAAAGATTATTTATCATTAAAAAATAAATAAGTTAAAAAAAGATTATAAGCATAAATCAGTGGCAAATAAATATCACAGCTAACGAAAAATACATTTAATGCTGAATAGCTAAAATTTAGAAGTGAAAAACAGTTTGTTTTAATGACACTACAAACCTAGTATTTAGATGAGGTTCCAGTATTTCCCGAACGTGCTCAGGAAATCTCCTCCACAACTGGTGACCGGGACCTCTGGTCTGCATCTCTCTACAGTCATAAATAGAAAGTAACTCCTACAAATACATATTTCACATTTGTAAATCCACAGTGAAGGAAATAAATCTGTACAGTCATCAAAATTCTACACATGGTAATTACAAACACACAGAATTATAAAATTTTGCAGCAGTTGACTTGTTCAGGATATATACCTCAATGCTTAATACCACTTAGTTGAGTTATTCAACATCACAAGGCTGTGGTACCTGAAGTCAGTATGTATTTTCTATCACTATATAAAAAATGTATTAAAATGTAACATTAAGAGCTACTTGGAGAAAAAAGTGAAATTGTCTACATTTGTATAAGTATGATCCTGTTTCAAATCCAAAACAGTTCAAATATTTAAGATAATGCTATTTCTAGACATAAAGTATGGACCTTAAAATTCTAAAAATAAGATGAAACCTTAAAGATACTTTACCACTCAAGTCCAGAAATTAAATTTCAAACAATTTTTTAAATTTGAAAATAAAACAAATGGGTTTCATTAATGAATTTTAAAAATCTTTAAACAAGAGGAATGCACTAGGACAATAAATCTTCCATTATTAATTATTCTTTCCAATTTCACTGATAATGAATATATGCACTATATCTACCCAACAATTAAAACATTATAAGCGATACTTAGCAAAATATGTACTTTACACTTATATTTAGTATTTTTAAATAAACACAAGTGTATAAAGAATTCAATACTGAAATATCTAAAACTCATTTAACTTTAAAATGTTACTCAAATTTTGTCTGAAGCCAGCTTTTCTTGGTGTTTGGCAGTCATTCTGCATAACAGAAACCACCTTAATCAACCTCTAACAACAGACTGGGTAAATTAGCAATTTTTCAACTTCTTGGTTTAGGGACCATTTACACTGGCAAAATAGAAATTTATTTAAGGTTATAGATCTTGCATATTTTGCTGAGAAAACAGAAGTAATCTAAAGAAGCTTCCACAACTTTCAACCTCCTATCAGCCCAGCCTGGCAATACCATTATCCGTGTATACATGCTTGGCTTTTTCTCCTGCTTTTGTCCTTAATTTATGGCTGCACCTTCCAGTTATATAATATATTCCACATTTTACCTATTTAAAATAGTATTACATCAGTTCTCTCCTATATCATCTCTAACTTATCATTTCTTGAATTTCTCCCAAGCAACATATCAACATACTGCTGTATTTTCCCCCCTTTCTCCTTGTTATCTCATTCTTTTTTTCCCTGAGGACAACAGTCCTCAAAAGAGGATCTGTAGCTTCCCTTTTTTCTAGTCAGTGTTCAAACCTTAGAATAACAGATTTAAAGTCAGCAGTTAATACAGTATCTCAATCTTGCAAGCAGCTTCTCAGTTTTCTATGTTCTTCCTTCTTCTCACTGACCTCTCATTGCCCAGACATCAATTACTAAACCCATTTTAACCTATATTCCCTCTTTTACTCAAAGCATCCAGAATACAGTTTTACACATTATCAGCACAATGAAAAGCTTTTATATGTAACCCAAGCCTCTCACAGTGAATTCCAGACATGTTAATTGAAAAAACAAAACAAACACCACCATGAAATAGGGCAAAGAAAAATAAACAAAAATATTTAATACATGTATGACAGATGAAAAGTTAGTTTCCATTAGTCAAACAGCTCTTAAATATCAATAAAAACCAGAACAATACCAAGAAGAAAATGAACAAGGATCTAGAGAAAATTCACATATACCCCAAAAACCCAATAAATAAAAACATGTTACACTTATAATTAAATGCAAATTAAAGTGAAATAGCATTTGTCATCTATCACATTTTGTAAAAGGCAGGTTTGTAAGAGAATAAACTAGTGAAACTTTTTTATAAAAGGTTATCAGATATGAATATTGCACTTTCTCCAAGATGTATTTTAATTACTATAGATTTATATTGTTGACATACTTTTACTCAAGCACCCAAAAAAGATATTTATGTTCTCTACATCATTTGTTGTACAAGTAAAACACTAAATACATCCTAAATTTGTTCAGGATAAATAAATTTAATCAAATTATAGTATGTTCAAATTGAATATTACCTTTGAAAAGAAACAAACAGCTATATGTACATATAAATATGTGTATGTATTAACTATGGAAAATAACCAAGAAAGGCTACTTAACAGAAAAGAAAACTCAAGTTACAGAACATCAACAAGTAATTTGACTTCATTTGGCAGGGAAAACAAGTATTCTCTGTATTCACATAAACTAGCTATTATAATCTGTTAAAAGGGTACATTTCCACACTGAAATTTTTATCATAAATTTGCAATTATTTCGGTAGAAATTATGTAAGTTTCAAGAATATAGAATTTATAAACTTCTTACTAGAACTTAGTAATATAAAGCTGCAATAACTATATGCCCTGTTACCTGAATTGCATATGCAGCTGAATCTTGAGCTCGACTGTTATCTGCATATGCAAGATAAGCTCTTGTCAGTTCCATCAGTAATCCATAAGCAAAGTTTGAATCTTCTACTCCGGTCTCAATTAAAAACAAGAAAAAAATTCAAAAAGAATTTGTAAGAATATTTGTTAAATGTACCATGTCCTCCATGGTTAATCTAACTTAGAAAAAGAAAGGAGGCTAAAGTTCAAATTAAATTTGGCACAAATCTAAAATATAATCTGTACCTAAGAAGCTAAACCTAAAGTTTTTTTTTTTTTTGGCTATTTATAAAGTGTAATATTAGATGGCTATCAGAAAAGTCGTGACACATTTTTGCTTGAAAAATATAGAAAAAAATCATCATGACTTTTCCAACAAACCACAGCATCAAGTCAATTTTTACTAACAGTTTACATTTTTCTGATGCTTAGAAAACGATAGCATTTCTAAATTGCGTTCTATAGAGGTCCAATCACTTGAAAAACTTGAATAATCTACTGATATGTTAAAAGTTGTTTAGGGAGCTTCCCCGGTGACACAAGGGGTAATGTCGCAGCACCATAAAGCTATTGCCAGCCACTGAAACAAAAGTTCGATCCCCAGCCAGGTAAGTGGCTCACATGGTGCAGCAAACCTCTCCTGCCTCACCCACTGCTCCTTCAGCAGTGTACTTCAGCTGATCTGCCTGTTCTGCTCCCCAGGCTGTCTTTAGTGAATCCTCTCATACTCTTTCCCTCCTGCACCTCTGGCCTGCACTCCAGCACTTGTATGCATAAACATAGAAATCTTTTTTTAAAAAAAAGTAATTTTATTTTGCAGGATTCACAAATCAATTGATGATGGATTCTTTTTTAAACATATACCATTAGAACATTCTAGAAATTAATTTCCCAAGGAAACACTTAGCAATAGTTTAAACAGTAATATTTAAGTAATTAACTAGATATTAACTGTTTGCTATAATTAGACTAGGAAGCTTTAAAAGAAGATAGTACATTAGATTGGTCTGAAACTTTATTGCTAAATGTACCATAACTTACATAACTGTCTAGCTTGGATCAAGTTACTACTAAGCAGCTTGTTACTAAACAAATTACAAAATCCTGTGCTGTCTCTAAGTGGAATACAGAAACCCCAACAGGACAG